AAACTGTTAAAACAACATTGGGGAAATATTATAAAAATAATTAAAACTGCAATGCTATAATTTATGTATTTATGATGTCTGCATTATTTTTATTTACGGCAGAATTATAAAAGTTAGCGTAAATATAATTTAGTTTTTTATCTCTTTCTTAAGCCTCCTTGGGCTTGAGTGAACCGCTTGTTTATCTATGAACAGGATTCGACATTGTAAACACTTTGATAAGGAAGATTCTCAGAATATCCTATTAGAATTAATGGCAAAAATATATTCTCAGAACAACTTGAAACCTGTTTTCGAAAACGTATATGCGCTAGAACAGTCATTTTCTCACATTCTCCTAAAATGTTTTGAGAATATCTTATAAGAATGTTCCCATAAATAATAGAAAAATAATTTGCTGGTCCAGCAAATTTTCTACTCATCTAGCAAAATCTTTTCGTTATTATATGGACCTCAAAAAGATTTGCTAAGAGTACTAATCACTATTTGCTGAATCTACAAATTATTTTGCTATAAGTACCATGGATGGATTTATATAAGCAGTTGCAGTTTTGCTCCGGATACATTATTTTGCATCAATAGCAAATTAACGTGATTCTTAGAACAAATACACTCAACAAATTTTTTCTATCCTGGCAACGAAACTATTTCTGCTCTGATAACGAATAGTTTGTAAAATTAGTTACGTCAACTAAATCTTTTTGATGTTACTATGAATATGCAGTAGCAGCGACGATTTTGCTAAAAGAGCAAAATTATTTTTCTCCGTGCAGAATGTTTTTCAGATACTTGATTCTTGGCTGAGTACATATACGACTGTTTTCCCATCTATTATCAGAACTATATATATATAAATATATATATATATATATATATATATATATATATACACATACACACTCACACAATTAATGTTTTTATACGAAAAAATAGAACGATTTTTAATTTTCGATATTGGACAATCGCGAAAATTTTTCCGTATTTTCTCCGGGGATTATGCCGCGTAAATCTTACGGCTCATCAATCTGCGAATGAAAACTGCGCGATCCCTTTGAAAGGCGTCGTTTAGGTAGGTAACGAAATTCAGGTCGACATAAAAATGTAACTCGATTCACTTGATCCTTTCATCCGCGCGTGCGACACGTCAAGTCATCCGGTTCTCTCTTCTTCTCACCTATTTACTCCGACTTAATCCACCGGCGACGAGCCGTATTAATCATTAAAACCGACAGCCACGCGCAGATACGAAGCTTTTAGCGATGAATGGCGTGTCGAGTCGGCCTTAAATCTCAAATCGCTCGTAAGTATCGCCATCGTCAGGAACTCGCAGACTGTGCGGGGCTTTTAACCGCCGCGCATCCACCCTGCCGCTTGAATACCGGACCGCTCCGCTTCCCTCCTCTCGTCATTCCGAGCTTCCCCCTTCTTCCCCCCCCCCC